CCTGAGACGCAGCGTGGCTTAGCAAAGAGGCCTGCGAACGATGAGTCCTGTGAAGCTGGTTGTTATTTACCCGGAGGGAACGCGATGGGGGGAAACACTCGACCCCCCTTACAGATGGAAGTTCACATTTTGGCTGCTTTACCGCCTTCCCCTGGCGAGCCAGGGTGTACGGCTCCTCTTCGACGCCCACCCACGAGAATGTCTGCTGTGTGGTTTTATTATTAGTATTACTATCACCATCATCATCGTGACCAGCAAACAATCCCTCTGCTGCGGCGTGTTGCGTCCTGGGAGTTCCCACACTCGCGTCAATGCAGGCGCGCCCTGCTCGCTCCCGCTCTCTCCCGGCGGTAATCAGCTGTGACAGCCGCACACAGACTCGCCCTACTCCTCCCTCCTCCTCCCCCTTCCTCCTCCCTCCCCGTCCTCCTCCCCCTTCCTTCTCCCTCCTCCTCCTTCCTCTTCCCCCGCTCATCCGTGAACCCCCACGAGCCCTGTGGGGCCCAACCCAGCCAAGAAACCACGTGTGCACATGGCCACGTTCTTCATTTCACCAGCCGGGTCGTCCGGTCGTGACGTTCGGGTCGTTAAAATGGTAACCGGTGATCGGGTTTCTCGAATTGGTTGTATGTTGAACTTCTTTCGCACCGTGCGTAGCCGACCGCGCTAATCGGAGGTGCGGGGGGAAGGACTACAAACTAAACACAACAAGCAGTTTTAAAGAAATTAGTTTGTCAATCTAGATGATGATGTGAAAGTGCATAGCTCCAGTCGCTTCCGAATACCGCTTCTGAGAGTTCAGAAACAGCCGGTCACCGATTACCAGTGGGATTTTTAGTAATCGGTACACACTTATTTTTAGTAATCGGTACACTTATTTTTAGTCATCATTAGAAACTTATTTGCGTGTGATCGTGGGAGGTTTCGGGCAATCAAGCGCGGCCACAGCGCGGCTCTTGAAGCCGGGGTTGGTGTTGGGAGGGTTGACCGAGGGAATCAGAATCGAGAGTATTTATTCTGGAGGAATCCGATGAGCTTTCAAGCTCTTTTTCACAGATGTCAAGTAGGGGCGGGTAAGAACGAATGGGGATCACAGAGAGGGTCGGCAGGAGTGGAAGGTCACCCACCGCCCGTCTCCAGGAATCTGCACGTGCCACCACCCTACCGCCCATATTCTAACTCCTGGACACCTGTGAAGAGCTTCATAGCTCATCGGATCCTTCTTTCCACGTACCAGGCCAGGAATATTCATTTAAGCGAGCATACGTACGATGTGACCCCTGATGCCCTGCATGAATATGGTTGTGCCGATGACACAACACACGTTTGCGCAATGCCTCCGGTACAATTGATCGGCCTTTTGTCAACGGATCGATATACATTATCAGCCCCTGCCACTCGACACCCTCACATGTCTCGTGTGTCGAACCGTTTTCTTTTTTACATGTTCCCATCCCTTCATCTTGGTCTTGATAGCGAACCCGATCCGTCAATGTTAGTCCGAAATCACACGGAGAGGTCGTCTTTTGCTGCAAAGCCTTTGCCGTGGATGAGAAGAGGCAAACATTCTTCCGATTCTGAACGACGCTCCTTCGGCGATGCGATCATCAAGCCTTCGTTTCGCTTCGATGCCCACGCTCCCTTCCGCCGACTCAACGAATCCATCCCCGGGCGTTCTCACCTCCGTCACCCCAGCCGCCTCATCAGTGGCCAGCGTTCCAAACGACGCGTTCAGCGCTGCAGGTCGAGTCGCCGTCTTCAACACTCCTCCCTTCAGCTGAATAATAATTACATTTATATAGCGGCTTTTCATCAAAGATCTCAAAGAGCTGTACAGGGACACAGCAGCAACGGACACTCAACACGAACATAATTACGTTACAAATACATCTTACGAATCCATTTACTCAATGAACTAAAAATTTAGTAAGCGGAAGCGTATAAATAGGTCGAGACCTGTGCAACACACCTGGACAATGGCGGAAGGAAAAACAATTGTCTAGAATGACGATTTAAAGAAAATTATTCTACGTTTGAACTTTTTTATAAAAATGTTTCATTGGTATAACACACAAACAAAAAAGAATGACTATGCAATCTGTTCTCCTGCAACGCGTAGCTTTCGTAACGCGAATTGGATATTTAACACGATGAACATACGAAAAAACACATTTTTCACAACGCGGAAACGAATTGAATACAACGCGATTGAGCGAACGGAACTACGTCGCGCGAAGGGGAAGAATCGGTCGTGTGGCTGCCTCGGCGTAGCATCATCGCACAAGGCGGGATGCTGCTGGATGCTTCTAGACGCTACCCACGTGCTTCAAATCTTTGTTCAGCCTGCGTACACATCTCACGTGTCATCGCGGACTGTGCTTTACCTCGATATATATTATTTTGTCCACAACGCGGTGTTCTTCAGGAACGCAAGTACCGCATTGTGAGAGAGCAGACTCTAAATATACGTGCATATTATTGACAAACCAAAACTTCGGAGTGTATATTCAAAATGTTTTATTAAAGCAGTTTATAAGCAATTCCAAGGTGGACACAACTTGAACGCCGCCAGACAATTCAACCTTAACATGAAAATATATATAAACTGTACTGTCAACAAAACGGTATAAATGTATTGTTCTGGAACAGCTGGGATTCGCCAATAAACAAGGGGTACCGCAAACTCCATCATCACGTGGGATATGGCTTTGAACCCTCCCTCGGTCGCTCACGTCAGCAGAGCCTCCCAGTGCTGGGTGGTTCACAGGGGGGGCGGCACGCTTGCCAGGATGAAGTTAGGGGACACCAGAATTTGTGTCATCACAGCGACAAAAGGGAGAGCGAGTTGAACCTAAAAACGACGACAACGGATTACGCCCCCAACGTATTTGGTCAATTAACATTTTAATCCGGAGGGGTTAGTGGTCGAAAATGACTGTAGCAGTATTCCGCGCTTGATCGTTCAGCGATATATCTTTTCCCCCCCCAATTGTTGAAGTAACGGCTACCTAACAAGATATGCCAAAACAGGAGCCGATTTATCATCACTAAACGGACCCCCGGTGCGAAAGGCGATTGTTTTCTCGGGGGACACGCACAATTCTGGGCACGATTACATAAACGGAACGTCCGGACCTTTGCGGAGCAGAGGCTTGCCTGCTTGATTAACAGAATACTACAAAACACTCGCTAGCTAAGAACGTGGGGGTGCACGAGCTGGCTTACACAGCAAAAGACAAACCCAAGTTTAGAAGAAAAAAAAAAGCACACTTTATATTTAACTCAACACGTCTCAAAAACTTAACATTTAAATGTCTACTTGTGTTTACATTCTGGGGAGCTCGTGTTGGGAACCAGACCCATGAAAACTGCACCGTTAGCGACAACCCTTGTCTATTTTATTATTTTATTTGACCAGGTAAAACCCACCGAGCTATATAGCTCTTTTTCACAAGCGTAGTGGCCACAAATAATAGCCCAACAAAGTTACCACGCGAAAATTTAAAGCAGCCAAATTGTCTAAATGCACGTCGATTCTAAATCCGAAGCGAAAAACCCAAGGCCCCGGAGAAAAAAAATCCACGCGACCACGCGGAGGCATGCAAACTCCAAATATACAGCAGGCGTCGGGGTCGAAATCGAACCCACGACCTCCTGCATACCAGAGGGAGATAACGCCTCGCTACCACGGCGCTCCAAGCGTTGGGCACGCTCAACGCCGGTGAACTAGCCGTGGGCACGAGGCGTCCACCAGGCAAGACCAGGCACGCGTGGCGACCGACGGTGTCGCTGTAGGCGCTGAGGGGGACCCCCAGGGCGAGCACCGCAGCAGTGGACGCGTGGCGTGACGCCGACTGCACGGGCGGCGACGGAAACAACCGCTTGCGGGCGGCATGTACGTGTGTACGTTGAACTTCTTTTGCACCGTGCATAGCCAACCGTGCTCATCAGAGGCGCGTGGGTAAGGACGACAGGGGTTACGCGGAGTTCAACACGACTCTGCTCTGTGCCGGGATTTCAGAGTCTCATTCAGGTGGCACGGTGCCGCAATTAACTAGTAGCCCCGCTTCCTGGGTACATTCTGAAAATGACCCGTCAAATAAATGAAAGGACACGGCCAGTTCTGGATTTCGTGTTGACGCAGCCGAAGTGTCACACTGCGAAACCCTTAGTTCAATTCAACAGCTCCCCCTACACATGTGATTTGCAGTCTCTTGAATGGGAATTCTCGCTTTTTGGGTTTTTTTTTACCTCGAAATGATTCGCGCAATTTTACATATCACCGACCGAAATATAGTCATGAAGAAGGGAATTTAAAAAAAGCGATTGACATGTACGTGATTCTTGGGCAGCACAATAATTAAACGTTGGATAAGGACGGGGGAGGGAACAAAAAGACCACGACAGCAGGGAATGCGTGAAGAGACACAGGGAGACTCGGGATCCACGAGCGATGGAAGGTTTGGTATGGCGAGTGCAACAAAAAGTGTCTCGTGAGGTTGCATCGAGAGCTCGGCGGCCCCGGGTGACAACACTCCGGTGGTCTCCCTGGAGCGGAGTCTCCCAGCCTCTTCCTCCCGACTGCAGCGCTGCTAGGGGGTGCACCGCCCCCGGGCATCACGAGACCCACTGCACGCGTCACGCGCTCGAGTCGCGCCGCCGTTCCGCGCCACCGTCGAGTCCACCCCGCACGTTCCGTCCCTCTTTACTCCGCGACACAAACGTGCGGCCGATCCAGTGACGTTTACAGTCATCGCGATCGCATAGTAATACCGCATCGCGCAATTCTCAAAATTTCCTGTTGTTGTTTTTAATAAACGTCACGCTCACGGAGGCGTCTATCGTTAAGACTTTATGAAGCTTGCGTTTGGCATTGACAATAACCGGCGGGGATTTATATATTCGTGAAATGTATACTTCGATACTCTGTATTTAATTTGAGCGACTTGCTTAACCTTTTCTCTATCTTGCTCTTACATCGTTTTTGTTGTTGTATTGTTTGTCGATGTAACTCGCGGACCCATTCCCCTTTGCCGGACATCTGTGACAAAGAGCTTCACAGCTCATCAGATTCCTCCTCCACGATAAATAAATCCCGATTCGTGACTAAAACCGGTTTTCCAATCGGCAGACGTTGTATGATGACGCAGGCGTACAGGGCCCTCGTGGCCGACGGGAGGAGTGTAAAAGAATACTCTGAATTGTCATGTGGAGAGACAAACATGGCAAGGATGCGTTGTCTCACAGTCGGACAGGGGAGTGACACTCGTGCGGGGGCCTGGCTGGACACGTGGAGGACACCAGGTTTAGAGTGCCCAGGGAAGAAACCTATTTTTTTTCATTCAAACAGTTAAAAGACACCTTTTAATTTGAAATCAATACTCATTAACTCATGTGTAATAAGCATTAATTATGAAAGTACTGGTAACCGTTTAAAAAAAGAAAAGATTCTCAATCTCGGTATCCAACTGTGTCATTTGTCCAGCGATGCCCCCTCGTGGTGGCCCCGTCACGGCGCACAAAAATTCGACTTACGAACTTTCAGTGATACAAACAAACCCGCCTCTAAGTCCAGTTGCCTGTTTGGACCAAGAATCGTAAGTTCAACTGCCGCGCAATAGTTGGCGGTGGTGGCATCTACATCTGCAGAAGGTGAAGAACCAGTGGCATCTACATCTACAGGAGATTATACAACTTTTAAAGCCATTCCCCGTGTTTAGTGTACATGCCGTACGTGTTTGGAATCGATAGGAGTAAAGTTGGACTTGCGGACAAATCGACTTACGAACAGACCTCTGGAACCTAACTCGTTCGTAAGTAGAGTAGGCCCTGTACTGCTGCCGATCAATTGTTGAGACATTCCGATACTCAGTTATTCCGATCGCACATCACCCGAATAAGGTCACGGAGGTTGGTTCGACTTTTAGCCGAACCGACCGTGCGACCGCGATGGTTCTGCCCATTTACGGCGAGAAACCGGCGTGGACACTGACCACCACGGAACCGGTTGTCTTGCCAATGCCACGATGCAGTGCTTTCGAATTGCAAAGTCAACGGTTCAGCCGTGCATTTCGCCACATTGTTACGATCCTCCATTGATTGCGTGATTGTATTTCGACTGTGCAGCTCCGCAGGGGGAGTCACTAAAAACGGGTGCAGTTTCCAAAACACAGCTCGGCCTAAAGCTTCACTCCCCCATTCACACACGCACGTCACACCCGACTACCCAGCCCCTAGCCCACCCCCCACCCTCCCCTCGCCCGGCACCTCCTTGCCCACCGACACGCCAACGCATGCCGGTTTTCACTCATCCTCTTCATCATCCTCGTCGTCGTCATCGTCTTCACCTTCGTCGTCAGGGGCGCGCTTTCTCTTCTCCCCCTTGGCTCCATCTTCCCCTTCCTCTTCATCTGATGCAAAAACAAACGAGAGCGCCAGTCGTGAGCATGCCTCGTCAGTCTTCGGGCGTAGAAGAGCTATCGTCGGTTCAGCCCATCATCTCCAGCAGAAACTGACTGTAAGTTAATTCCATCATCTCTAAAAGCTGTTCTAAGTTCATTTAATTATTCTAACAGCACCGTAAGTTCATCCCATCATCTCGAACAGCAGCCGTAAGTTCACACCAACATCTCAAACAGCGGTCGTAATCTAATCTCATCATCGTACACAAATGACAGCGGTGTGAAGCCCATCCCTTATCTCAATTATAGGGACACGGTCACTAACTCCCAAGCCGCCGGCACAGAGCACACTTGGCCCCTACCATCCTCATCATCCTCCTCTTCCTCTTCTTCGTCCTTGAATTTGTACTCTCCATCATCCTCGTCATCCTGTGAACGAACAGGACATTCAGTGATTATATCAGTGTCACACGAATGCAAAATTGAAAAATAAATCACCAAGGCCTGAAATGCGTGCTTTATTTTTTAAATGGGCACGTGCGTGTCTAGGCCTAGAACCCCCGTAGGTGAGCCCGAGTCTCTCGACACTTAGCGTGTGCGTGCTCCCCCCGTGTGAGCACGCAGTGGGGGCAGCGCCCGGTCATGTGATCAACAGACCACGGTCACAAGCGGGCGAGACTCTTCCATTCTCTTTGGTTATCTTTGGTTCTTTCGGTAAAGTTAGGTAGTTAGAATAAAATATATATAAAATAAAAAAACATTTGTGCACCGCCGTTCGAACGAGATTACAGTTAAGCATTGATAATTATCCGGCTTCCGATTATCCGGCTTCTAACATTATCCGGCGGTCCCGGGCTGATCCGGCAAAACCGCTCCAAAGGCTGTAACCAGTCCGGCAATCGGCACCGTTTGCGTGACAAAATAACTACGCTTGAACACATTATACACTACACACAACTTGAACAATGAAAATACTGCACCTCTACACATCTTCGAGATTGGAGTTGTAAGTATGGTAGAGTTATCACAGTAACTTTTTACAGGATATTTATTTTTGTCTATGTGTATGTATATTTATGCCAATTTCACAGTAAACAAATTTAAAACACGAAAAAAAATAAACACAACACCTAAAAACACAATGTCATACAAGAATGTGTAAATAAAAGCTAAAATCATGATTAGTGATTATCCGGCGTATTTGAAATTCCGGTGCTCGCCCCCCCCCAAATAATTGATGATCTTCTCCATGCGTAGCACCCCCTGGACTCTAAGCGGGCAGAGACAATTACAAGGCTCAAGCAACACTCCACACTCTACGCTCCACACTCTACAAACACTCTACGCTCAACCAACACTCCACACTCTACGCTCCACAAACACTCTACGCTCCATAAACACTCCACGCCACAAACACTCTACGCTCCACACTCTACGCTCCACAAACACTCCACGCCACAAACACTCTACGCTCCACACTCTACAAACACTCTACGCTCAACCAACACTCCACACTCTACGCTCCACAAACACTCTACGCTCCACACTCCACAAACACTCTACGCTCCACAAACACTCTACGCTCCACAAACACTCTACGCTCCACAAACACTCTACACTCTACGCTCCATAAACACTCCACGCCACAAACACTCTACGCTCCACAAACACTCCACGCCACAAACACTCTACGCTCCACAAACACTTTATGCTGCACAAACACTCTACACTCTATAAACACACTACGCTCCACACTCTACGCTCCACAGCTCCACAAACACTCCACGCCACAAACACTCTACGCTCCACGAACACTTTACGCTGCACAAACACTCCACACTCTACGCTCCACAAACACTCTACGCTCCACACTCTACGCTCCACAAACACTCCACGCCACAAACGCTCTAAGCTCCACAAACACTCTACATTAAAACACTCTATGCTCCACAAACACTCTACGCTCCACAAACACTCGTGGAACTCAGACAGGGTGACGACTCCTCCGACACGCACCTGAAGGTTCTCCCGTGCCAAATATTCCAGGCCGACGTCATTCTCATCGTCGTCGTCGTCGTCCTCGCCCACGGCATCCTCGTCCTCATCTTCATCCTCCTCATCGTCGTCGTCGTCCTCATCATCATCTGGCACGGCAAAACGTCCATTATTGGCAATCATCGGCGGCATCGTTATCGTTGGCCCTGATAAAATTGGCAAAGTAAATGGATTTTTATATCATTATGACTATCGTTATTGCTATCAAGCCTTTCTCGCGTGCAGTTTGCATGTTCTCCTCCCGGTTCTCCATGGGTCTCTTCTAAATTGTCTGGTTTCCTCCCGTGGCTAAAAACAAAACAAAAATCACATGACGTGTGTAACTGGTCTCGGACAAAAACATCCCAATGCTGAAACATTCCCTGGAAATTACTCAATGGGGATCACGCACAGCAGCAGCATCGACCTCCTACTGTGAAGACTCGGCAGGACCCTCCTGCACAAGTTTTCCTGGGTAAACAAGCAGAATCACTTTAACTTGTGTAACACGTCACCGCATGGGACTCTCTCACTCTCTAACTTGTGTAACACGGTGGCGTGTTACACAAGTTAAAATTATTGTGCAGGAGGGTCCTGCCGATTCTTCACAGTAGGAGGTCGATGCTGCTGCTGTGCGTGATCCCCATTGAGTAATTTACAGGGAATGTTTCAGCATTGGGATGTTTTTGTCCGATACCAGTTACACACGCCGTGATTTTTTTGTTTTTAGCCATTGGAGGAAACCACTCTCACAGAGAGAGAGAGAGAAACTCCAAGGCACGAGGAACCACAGACAAGCGGGAAGGCAGTCACGCGGCAATTGCCCAAGCTCTGCGGTCCTCTATATATCGTGGTGTTATCGGCCGTTTAATGAGCATTTTAAATGTGGGAGGTAACCAGAGTATCCGGAAAACAACCCAAAAGCGTGCGAGGGAAGCAGTCTACCCCCTACATAGACGGCACAGGTGGAGCCCACATTCGGCCGGACCGCCGTCTCCTGGCGAGCCGGGGCACTCCTCGACGGCCTACGGGGAGTGAGTTTGTCGCAGCATTTGTGCGGCAAATCCGCCAAGTCTCGCCGGTGCTGCCCTCCACGTGGCGCCGGACTACAGGCGGCCACGTGCGGCACCGAAGACCTCGATCGTGAGCGACGGCGCGCGGAGGCAGGGAGCGCGGGGGGGGGGGGGGGACGCCACGCACCGCTCTCCCCGGGGTAGTGCTCGTCCTCCGACTCGGAGGCCTCCTGGTTGTCGTGGTCGAAGCCGTCCAGGTAGGACAGGGCAGGCAGCAGGCGGAAGAGCTCCTCGCGGTAGTTGGGCTGGTTCACCACCTCGCAGTTGAACAGGTCCAAGCTCTTCAGCTTCTCCAGCTTTTTCTGTGCGGGCCGACGGAAAGCGACGTGTGGTCATAAATAATTTTAAATGGTACTTTCTTTTTAATCAGCCGAAACAGTAGAAGCCTGTGTAGCGATTGGTGGCACTCACCAGCGGCTCCAGGCTGCTCAGATCCTTGATCTTGTTACCGGTGAGGCTCAGGTACGTGAGGTTGGGCGTCTTCTCCACCAGCGCTTCCAAGCCGTCCGTGATCTTATTCCCGCCGAGCTCCAGCTGCCGAGGGGGACGAAGCGGTCAGCACCGGCGGAGAATCGCGCGGCAGCGACAACGCCCAACACGCCTCGCGCACAGCGGCACAGAGGCAACCCCACACAAGCATTGCCTCTGCCTGCTTGGTGGCATAACGAGCGTGGGGGCAGGGGGTGTCTTGCCCCCCCCCCCCTGGTGGCCAAAGCTATCAGTTGGGGCCACCTTGATTTTAACAACAGTGTTGCTATCTAGGATCCTGCCGTTGCTACCTAGGATCCTGCCGTTGCTACCTAGGATCCTGCCGTTGCTACCTAGGATCCTGCCGTTGCTACCTAGGACCCTGCCGTTGCTACCTAGGATCGTGTCGCTATTGATGAACATTACCTATCCCTATCCATCTCTTTGCCTGTCGCCCCACTCCGCCGCGATTACCTTCTTGAGTTTGGGGAGCTTGGGCAGGCTGGAGAGTGCGGTGAGGCCGGTGTTGATGAGGCTGAGCAGCTCCAGGCCCTCAAACTCCTCCGTGAGGCCATCCACCTTGCCCTCGCGGCAGCCACAGTTGTCCAGCACCAGCTCCTTCACCTGTGGGCAGCGGGGGTGGCGGTGGGGTGGCGCCCGTAATTTATACAGTGCCTTAAGCAAGGCGCTTTACAGAGAATCAAGAACAGTAGATATGATATGAATGTAATGGTGGAGATGAGTAGAGTGAAATAAATGTTGGGGAAGCAATTGGGGCGAATCTGTGACGATGCGTGAATTCAATTCCAAGTGAAATTGATCACAGTCAATGACGATGAATGGATTGAATGAATGGGGAATGATTTATAGCGCTTAACCCCTTTCCCCTGCCCCATAAAAACGTTCATGTCCCCATCGCACGCTGTCCCCAACTTGGGTGGGGCAGTAAGCCCAATTCTTCCCCCTTCACTGGGCCCTGTGGTGCCAACGTCGGGCTGCTGTTCGCGTAGATTCTCCCTTCCCCCCTCTGTTCAGTGATGGGTGTTTTGTACCGGCCTCATATTGAGGTGTAATAAAAACAATAAAAAAATTACGGAATTGGTCATTGACACGTAGGTATTTGCGACCAATGTTGGGTCGGATCGCGTATGTAAACGTGTGTCGTAAAACCCTCCTCCACCCGACACGGCCAATGAATAAAGTTGTCACGTGCTAAACAAGCGCGTCAGTTTATGACCGCTGCAGTGGCACTGCCGCTGTGGTGTTGGAAAGCTCTCTGACCCACGCACGTTTAACAAGTGGGTACGACGTTTCGCTGACAGTTACAACCAGCATCATCAGGCAGTTGATGATGCTGGTTACAATTGTGGCAAATACCTGACGCTGGCTGCAACTACCGACGAAATGTCCGTAGCCACTCGTTAAATGAACGTAGAGAGTAATTTTAAGGAAACTTATTTTACTGGACTTTACAGATTGGCGTCCCTTCAATTAATGCTCAATATGACCCAGACCTCCACGGGAGAGTGAATACATTCTGCATCAATAGGCTCTTGTCTCGTTCGATAATAACCCGAGTAAGTAGTTGAAATATTCACTGATACTCGTGAGATTACCATTACTGGGCCTCCTCTACTTACGAACGAGTTCGGTTTCAGGTCTATTGTTCTTAACTTTACTCCTGTCGATTCCAAACGTGTTGTAAGGCATGTACACTAAACACGGGGAATAGCTTTAAAAGTTGTATAATCTGCTGTGGATGTAGATGTAACTGGTTCTTCACGTTCTGAAGATGTAGATGCCACTGGTTCTTCACGTTCTGCAGATGTAGATGCCACTGGTTCTTCACGTTCTGCAAATGTAGATGCCACTGGTTCTTCACGTTCTGTAGATGTAGGTGCCACTGGTGCTTCACGTTCTGCAGATGTAGATGCCACTGGTTGTTCACGTTCTGTAGATGCCACTGGTTCTTCACGTTCTGTAGATGTAGGTGCCACTGGTTCTTCACGTTCTGCAGATGTAGATGCCACCACCGCCATCTACTGCGCAGCAGCTGAACTTACAACTCTAGGCGCGAACAGGCAACTGGACATACAGACCAGGTTTGTTCGTATCTCTGAAAGTTCGTAAGTCGAATGTTCGTAAGCAGAAGAGTCCCTGTGCATCAACAAAATCAGTTTTTATTTATGTTGTTTGAATTATGCTCGTTTAACCAGGAATGCCTCACCCTTGAGTCTACAGGTTTCCACAGTAGCGGGTGATGTTGCCACGTGCTCGAGTGCTCGATACTCCAAATTGAGATTCACATGGCAGCAACATCGCAGACCGCCCCCCCCCCCCCCCCCTACTAACAGTCTCGAGGCTTAATAACAATAATGACGGTAGATCATTGATTATATACGGCGCGCAAATTATCCAGCTTCCAACATTATCCGGTGGTCCCAGGCCGATCCGTTGAACATCCATCACAGCTGATGATGGGAGTTGGATTCCGACTGGGAAAAAATCTCCAATTTTAAAACTGCCCCACAATCATTACCCCACGCAGAGTCTTCGAGATTGGAAGGGTAAATACGCAAACCTGTCAACCCCTTATCAGTGCCCTACCTTATTACAGATCAATTCAGACCTTATTGGTCACCCCGTGATCTTACAAATCTCAACGTTCGTCCTACAAAGTCCCATCACAAGGGTGAAACACAGAGACAAAAAATGTTGCCTGTATTGAAACGGCTGTACAAGAATACGGGGTAAACCGTGTGGGTTGACAGCTATGAATACGGTACTATAGTAAATACTATAACTTTTTTTTACAGCAGTATATTTATTTGTCTATTTGTACGTTTATTTATGCCAATTAAAAAAAACACGAAGAAAAACACATACACAGCACCTAACACATGTTATTACAAGAATGTGAAAACAATTTGCTATTTTAAATAATGATGTAGTGATGATTCGGAGTTGTTGGAGATCCGCCAGTGCCTTTCCCCCCAAAGCCGCCGGATAATTCGATTATCTAAACTCGTGTTCAAACTATATACAGTATTCGATTGCCGCACACGGCCAAGACAGATGATTAGCTTAACCGGTCCTGGGCCTCCCCTAGGTTGACTCAGCCTCAAATTAGTAAAAGGTGCGGTGTGTGGTCAACATCGCCCCTGGGGAGGCAAAGGCGGTCGGGCGTGGTTGCTGGCCACCCAGCCCCCTCGTGTGTCACAGTGACGGCCTTCATAGGTGAGTGATAGGTTGAGTTTAGAGTGAGTGCTGAGTGAGCTTAGGCGAGTTTTGGGTGAGTTTGGGGTGAGTGCTGAGTGAGCTTAGGCGAGTGTTGGATGAGTTTAGGGTGAGTGCTGAGTGAGCTTAGGTAGTGTTGGGTGAGTTTGGGGTGAGTGCTGAGTGAGCTTAGGTGAGTGTTGGGTGAGTTTAGGAGTGCTGTGTGAGCTTAGGTGAGTGTTGGGTGAGTTTGGGGTGAGTGCTGAGTGAGCTTAGGTGAGTGTTGGGTGAGTTTGGGGTGAGTGCTGTGTGAGCTTAGGTGAGTGTTGGGTGAGTTTGGGGTGAGTGCTGAGTGAGCTTAGGTGAGTGTTGGGTGAGTTTGGGGTGAGTGCTGAGTGAGCTTAGGTGAGTGTTGGGTGAGTTTGGGGTGAGTGCTGTGTGAGCTTAGGTGAGTGTTGGGTGAGTTTGGGGTGAGTGCTGTGTGAGCTTAGGTGAGTGTTGGGTGAGTTTGGGGTGAGTGCTGAGTGAGCTTAGGTGGGTGTTGGGTGAATTTAGGGTGAGTGCTGAGTGAGCTTAGGTGAGTGTTGGGTGAGTTTGGGGTGAGTGCTGAGTGAGCTTAGGTGAGTGTTGGGTGAGTTTGGGGTGAGTGCTGAGTGAGCTTAGGTGAGTGTTGGGTGAGTTCGGGGTGAGTGCTGAGTGAGCTTAGGTGGGTGTTGGGTGAGTTTGGGGTGAGTGCTGAGTGCGCTTAGGTGAGTGTTGGGTGAGTTCGGGGTGAGTGCTGAGTGAGCTTAGGTGAGTGTTGGGTGAGTTTGGGGTGAGTGCTGAGTGCGCTTAGGTGAGTGTTGGGTGAGTTTGGGGTGAGTGCTGAGTGAGCTTAGGTGAGTGTTGGGTGAGTTTGGGGTGAGTGCTGAGTGAGCTTAGACGAGTGTTGGGTGAGTTTGGGGTGAGTGCTGAGTGAGCTTAGACGAGTGTTGGGTGAGTTTGGGGTGAGTGCTGAGTGAGCTTAGACGAGTGTTGGGTGAGTTTGGGGTGAGTGCTGAGTGAGCTTAGGTGAGTGTTGGGTGAGTTTGGAGTGAGTGCTGAGTGAGCTTAGACGAGTGTTGGGTGAGTTTGGGGTGAGTGCTGGAGTTAGTTGAGGCAGGGGCTGGGTGAGTGAGCTGTGTGTGGGGGGGTGAGGAGCTGGGTGAGTGAGCTGTGTGATCGAGGTGGATATTGGGTGAGTTTGGGGTGAGTGTTGCTCGCCTCTGCGAGTGGGGCGAGTGCTGGGTAAGCCGAGGCGAGGGCTTGGTGAATAGTGTGTGCGTGGGGTGCTGGGTGAGTGTTTGGGTGAGGGCTGTGTGAGCGAGGTGGATTGTTGTTGGGTGAGGAGCGCTGGGTGAGAAGCCCTGCTCACCTCTGCTGGCGCTTTCCCGCGCATCTCCGTGATCATTCTCTTCATGTCCATGGCCGCGCGGCCCGCGGGGAGGAGGAGGAGACGCGGCGCTCTCGCCACCGGGCCGGGGGGGAGCTGTGGGCCGCTGCTCTCCGACTGGAGTCCCCCGAGACTGGTCCTGGGTTCCCTGCTCCCTCCTGGTCCCTCCTGGTCGCTCCTGGTCCCTCCTGATCCCCGCCGATCCCCGCTAAACCCCGCCGACACCCTCCCGACTCGCGCCTCGCGATCCTCGTGTCCCGCGCTCCACGCTTCAACGGCGCGAGGCCAGGGACCGCGGCGATTTGGTCGGCGCGGTGCGGACTCGGCAGGGGCAGCGAACGGCGCAAAATTCCCGGCGGGAGTGGTTCAAATGATGGAGGTGGTGGTGGAATTAAAATAAATGGGAATAGGTTTTAACCCTTTATGGCAATGAAACACCAAATAGAAAGCTTTACTAAGGAATCAAGTACTGCATTAAGCACACACGGTGCCTGTGAACATGCAAACAAAACAAACTCTAAAATAGTGGGACCTTTTTGGGCCAGTGTCAAGGTATGAAAAAAAATAGGAAAAGCTTAATTTTTTTAATCTGATTGGTGGACACCAGAGACAAGCGCCTGGAATTCTACACTCAAAGAAGGAAGGCCGCCTGGCTGATGGGATGTGTAAAAAAAAGAGACAGTACTTTATTTTTCGTGGTGTGGAGGGACGGACAGATGTGTGATTGGGAGCGAATTGTCTTTGGTTTATATTGAGTGCACTATCGGAATTCTTAAACGACAACCGGTAACCTTTTTCAGAAACCGGTAACCCTTTCTAGTTGGAACGTTACTAATGAGTGCACGGGTTGGAACGCGCGGACGGACAAACGGCACGGCGACCTAAGGGGCCGTCCATAAATGACGTCACGCGATTTTGGACAATTTTTGACCCCCCCCCTTCGTAAAACGGCGTCACAAAAAGTCAGACCCCCCCTAAAATATGACGTCACAAAGCTCTACCCCCCCCCCCCCCAAATATATAAAACATGCTTCAAATCGCTTTAAACTATTGTCATTGTAGTGCGTAATTAATGTGGCGCTGCACTCTGATGTTGTAGGAGAAAACATTAAAAAGTATATTTAATGAAGTAGAACGTGTTGTCTATATTTATTTAAAGTTGCGCATTTTGATGTGACGTCACATTTCTCAACCCCCCCCCCCCCCCTCGTCACACATCGTCACAAATGTCTGACCCCCCCCCCCCACCCCTAGGTGCATGACGTCATTTATGGACGGCCCCTGAGTCACCGCACGATTCGTTTGTCCTTTGCGTCACAGCCCTGCAAGTGTTTCACGCGCACCACTGGTGGCGGAGGCGCCTCCACGAGACGGAGCTCTAGAAGGTATTTGGCCTACGCTTCCACACTGGCCAGACGTGTTGGAAGAGGTGAAGAGGTGCCCACACTTTACCCCACTGCACGCGACCTGCCAACAAACCGTGGTGAATCCCATTTCTACTGCTGGGTGGACAGAGGCGCCGCGATGACTCTGAGATGTTAACTACCTCGCCTGGTACACAGGAGGTCGTGGGTTTGATCCCAACCCTGAACGCCTGCTGCTGCATATTTGGAGTTGGCGTGTCTGTCTCATCACCACGGTGACTAGGAGATGTTAACTACCTCGCCTGGTGCACAGGAGGTCGTGGGTTTGATCCCAACCCTGACGCCTGCTGCTGCTCCTGTATATTTGGAGTTTGCGCGTCTCTCGCTCTCCTTGTGGTTGCGTGGATTTTTATCCGGGTCTTCCGGTTTTCCCCTTCACATTTAGAATAAACATCACCACGCGTTTAAGAATATTTGGCTGCTACGATAAATTTGCACGTGATAAGCCCACTTCGTTGAGCTATCATTTGTGATAGCCAGATCGCTTCTGAAAAAAGACAGCTACACATAGCTCAGTGGGCCTTACCTGTTACAATCAAATACAAAGTTTATAGTACAAGAAGCACTGGATTTAATGAACCTATGCCATCGTTTCAGCTGCCGCGCCGGACGATCAGATCGGCGTGCTTTGGGGTGACAAGCCCAGACAGTCGGTGATGCTCACCCCATTTCTTTTCCCCGTGAAGCTGCCATCGTTTCTTAGTTTAAAAAAAAGCCAGCGAAAGACGTGCCTTGTGTGGTGAGACACGCGCCGTATATAGTGCGGCACACACACATACACTACATGGTACACATAGCCACCCAGTATATGGTAACCCATTTATTTACCTATATATTCATACCTGTCAACCCCTTATCAGTGCCCTCCCTACCTTATTACAGACCAATCCAGGCCATATTGGTCACCCCGTGCCCATTATACATCTCATCGTCCATCCTACAAAGTCCCATCACAAGTGAGAAACAAGACATTTGTGTTGCCCATATTGAAACGGTTGTACGCCGTATGGACTTGAACACTCAATCTCCATGTACAAGAACAATACGGGGTCTATAAACCGTATTGGGGTTGACAGCTGTGCTATATTTTATTGTCCCGTGCGGTTACCCATTAGGAGTAATAACTTGGAACAATGAGTGAGCTCCGGCACAGCGTTTATTTGCCGCGGTCCCTGACCCCCAGCCGCTTGAACACGTGCGCGCCACGCCGCGCTCTGGTAGCGGCCGCCACTGCCGGCGTCACGGCCGCCCCGCCAGGCCGATCCGACCCCCCTCTCCTCCTCCCCCCCCGTACGGTGAACCGCAACGCAAGCAGCGCGGTTTGTGGCAGGCCCGAACGCGCTGGACGTAGATGCGCACAGATTCGTAGAGAATGAGACGGACGGGGGAGTCGCCAGCCACGTTCCTTTGTACCCCGGCGGTTGGGTTGGTGTTGAGAAGCAGAATTCGCGACCGACGAGCAAACATAAGAATATATACTTCAGGAAGCCGATGAGCTATAACACTCTTTTTTCACATTTGTCCAGCAGGGGCACTGGGTCAGAACAAAATCAGAAATTGCGCCGTTACTGATTCAGCTCGACAATGAACGTTGGTTTAAGTAACCTTTACTGCAGGTTTTGGTTCCTGGAAAGGGAATCTCGCATCCCCAGGGGGTGCGTGCACCCTAGGTTATGAACATTGTCGAATGAACATTGTCGTGCCCTCCATTTATACAAGGCCACGCTACATGGGGTTGTAACGTGTTTCTTGTGAGATTTGCTTTTTTAACTATCGTACATAATCACGAGCGTCGTTGTGGAGAATAATAAATCTAGAGACAATGTATCATTCACATCTTGACATTAAGAAAATAAGTTACACAACCCCATCAGCCGTACGGGCTCTAAGTGCTGACTTTCAGCAATATAAATTTTAACAAGCAGACTGGACCGGTTTCGGCCTACAGTGTCTCATCAGCAGTCAGACTTGCTTGAATCAATGCTGGTGAAGTTACGCACTGCCATAAGGCCCGTGAGGCTAATGGGTTGCATAAGAAATAATTTAAAATAGTTTTTAATGTGGAGAGGATAGAAGAATGCTCATCTATTGTGCCACAGTAGATTGTGACGCTGCTTATACGATGGTTGTCGACGTTGATGCCTGTGAAAGTAGATGTTTCGTTATTTGTAGATGTCTTAACCGATAGCATGTGTGATAAGACGGCAGTGCTGTAGCAAGAGAGCCACACCACCCGGATAATGTATCTGCAATTCTGAAAGCGAAGCAGTGGCGGTTGGTGGTTAAATTATTTGGTGGGGCAGTGTTTGGTTCAGTTACGAGTTGGGGGGGGGGGGCACCAGGATGGCACCTTGCCACAGGCGCCAAAATATCCAGCTGCACCTCTGATAGATGATTGTAACGTTGTGACAGACGATTTGTACAAGCGAAGGGTGAGTCCACACTGAGACCGCAGGGCTGAGCTTTGCCGCGTTGAGTGCACAGCGGGCTCCCATCACAACCGAGCACCGCCAACCCCAGCGCTATTGACACATTTTTTTACGATATAAAAGTGTATAGTCATGATTGACTAATTTGGACATATATCGAAATACATACATTTGAGTACCTTTATTATAACAAAGGAATCTAAGAACGGGCATGGAGGAGCTAACATGGTGAAATTAGAGATGAAATTTATATTATTCTGGTGGACAAACCCTAGATTGCCAGGTGTCTCTGATTCAGCAAGGGTATACAATCACACACTGGTGCAATGCAAGTTGCACTTCAACGCAGGTAGAGAGGGCAAAGCCAATTAGGTGCAAAATAAAAATAAATATAGTTCAATAAGAGTATGTTTTTATTTCACTTTTTAAATGAATAAGGAAAGAATAACATTGTTGCTTATATTATACAGAAGAAAAAACACAAAAATTTACTTGTGCAAATAAAACTACAAATGATGTAGATGTTTCAGAGACTCAGCAAAAATTATGTAGTATTTTAACACGGTTAAAACTTCTTATCTTTGCCCATTTGCAGGACAAAACCAAGTAGGTTAGGATCTGCAGCCCAATTGATACCACTGCTTTGAATAAGAGCCTGCAACAACAAGAAACAACTTGATTAGATTCCACAACTGAGACATCTATTCTTTACATGAATTACTGGATTAAGAGCTTCTCAAGTTGTTGCCAACCTCTCCATGGTCTGACTAAGAAAAAATCCATCGTTCCCATGCACAAGCTGATCTCATTGATTCATCAACACACTGGTACTTTTTCTTTGGCTGCCTGTTGCTAGTCTTGACCATTGGCCGTCGTCCTTTCTATGGAATTTTACTGCACAATCAGCCTAATTTAAGTCAAAATGAGTGTTCTCTAATTATCTAATCCACCTGTTTTTGTATTAGTGTAGCAATTGAGCCAATATATAACTCAAAAAGGCGAATGCATGGTTTAGTTGACTTAGATGTCTGAGTGAACACAAGCCCAACTCTGATATAAGAACCCACCTGTCCCAAGGGGACTTTCAGTTTTGTGCCACCGTCTTAAAAAACGAGCAGCCTATTGCACCAATTCCAATAAACCCACCGCATAGCAGTAGAGAGCTTAGGGTTACAGTGGGGTACAATGAGGCCCCTTCTCACCTGCAACACGTTGCGGAGAATGGTGACGCGATTGTTGGCGATGGTCAATTTGTGGCTCCCGGCCATTTGCTGCTTTGTCTGCGGTTGTTGGCTGTGGCTCACTTGGGCCCCAATCACCTCCTTCACCTCCTTCAGCAATGCCTGGTTCTGTTCCTTCATGGCTGTGGGCAGACACATGTTAGAGTTTCAGTCGGTTTAAGACGTAGGCTTCCGCGACCAATATACATGTAGTTT